GGAGTCGGGACACACACCCACCCATGATCGGGTTCTGATTGTTATAGGCCCGGAAGGCCCCCAGTTGACCCTACTGGAGGACCTCCAATCGGAGAGCCCAGATCACCCCCGGACCAGATCCCTGGAGGATATTCTTTCTAAGAGTCCTTCCCATCACCGCCCTCAGACCAGATCTAGGGCCGCGCGACGCTCGGCCAACCGACTCTTACCTCTCTCAGATAGACAGACACAGCCTAGCCACGGGCAGAACCAGTTAGGTGGCCCCCTCGACATTTGATATGTCAATCACATCCCTAACTTGGAATGGCCGTGGCCTGGCTAATAGGGCCACTCTTGCTCACGTTCGATCCCTAGTTCGTGACCATAGTATAGACTTTACTGCTTTCCTAGAGCCCATGACCCATAACCCCTCGTTTGACATATATTCTCGACACCTTGGTTTCCACTCCGGCGTGGGATACATATCTAACAAGATCTGGTTCTTTTATTCGCGAGACTTTACATGTCGGATCATCCGTGATACAAATCAGGTCCTGCATTTTGAACTCTCTGCCGCTCATCTCTCAGAACCAATCTTTCACACTCTGGTCTGTGCCAGCTGTGCGAGGGTTGGTCGCTATGATCTGTGGGACACTATGCGTGAGATTGCTGAGAGTATGGAGGGATCACCGTGGATGGTTAGCGGTGATTTCAACATCTTTCTTCATCCCAATGAGTGCATTGATGGCCAGTCGGACCGCTCTACGGAGATCTTAGATTTCGTCCAGGCTATGGCGGATTGCGAGTTAATTGACGCTGGATACGAAGGTTCGCCATTCACGTGGGAGAGGGCCGGAGTTAAGGAGAGGCTTGACCGTGCTTTGATCCCTGAGGCATGGACAAAAGTGTTTGCGGTCAAGACCGTCACACACCTCTCTCGAATTAAATCTGACCACGCTCCTCTTCTTATCCGGTGTCGGTTATCGAGCACCCCACGTCGCTCTTCCTTTAGGTTCTAGAACATGTGGACCTGCCACCACACGTTCCAGGACACGGGTAGAGCTTGCTGGCTCCATCCGACGGGGCTTTTTGGGATGCGATACCTGGAGGCGAAGCTTGATAGACTGAGGCGCAGTTTGAAGCAGTGGAATTGGACAGTATTTGGCGACATTTCTCAGCGCCTTGCTGCAGCTCAGAGTGCGTATGCGGTTGCCGAGCGAGCTTATGATCTGGATTCGTCACCAGAGAATAGGACCGCAATGCGCTGATGCCATGCTGAGTACCAGCTTCGCCTGCTTATGGAGGAAGATTTCTGGAGGCAGAAGGCTGCGGTTCGCTGGGTTGCATAGGGGGAACGTAATACCAAGTACTTTCAGGGGTTTGTGAGGCAGAAGCGGGTTAAGTTGTATATCCATTGTATTGAGGATAACGGGTCTTCCTTGACTCAGGAGTACGAGATACGGGAGTCGGTTGTGACACACTTCCAGTCCCTCTTCACCTCAGATCGCGTCTTGCTTACACCCCCCGACGCTGCCGTCTCCCCACCATCCCGCAGTCGGTCAACCCTGTTGACCTCTGCGACCTCCCGAGTAGGGAAGTGATCAGGGAGGCTGTTTTGGGATTGATCCCAACAGTGTCTCTAGCCCGAATGGCTTCTCGTCTCTTTTCTTTCAGGCCTGCTGGGAGATTGTGGAGACTGACGTCGAGGAAGCTGTGGTGGATTTCTTCTTGGGCCACCGGATGCCGAAGTCCTTCACAGCGACCTCTATTGTTTTGATACCTAAGAGACCTAATCCGAGTTCCTGGTCTGACTATAGACCTATCAGCCTTTGTAATGTGACCAACAAGATCGTCTCCAAGATCCTTAATGGTCGTCTAGCTCTCCTCCTCCCTTCCCTAGTCTCTCCGAACCAGAGTGGATTCATCAAGGATCGAGTCATCAGTGATAACATCCTTTTGGCTCAGGAGATGATCCATGACATCTCCCATACAAACCGGTCACGAGCTCCGAATCTTGTGCTAAAGCTATATATGGCTAAGGCATATGACAGGGTCGAATGGCCGTTCCTCGGGGAAGTTCTGTTTCGGATGGGCTTCCCTGAGCTTTGGATTAGTTTTGTGGAGGCGTGCATGGAGCACTGCACGTTCTCGGTTCTTCTTAATGGTAGCCCTATTGACTTCATCCCTTCCACCCGGGGTCTTTGGTAGGGAGATCCTCTATCCCCCTCTCTTTTTGTCCTGGCAGCGGATTACTTGTCCCGTTGCCTTGACGGCTTCATTCGCGACTTTCCGAGGATGACCTATAGCACGCGTGGGTACGGTTATCCCATCTCACACCTATCTTATGCAGATGACATTATTATCTTCACTCGTGCGGATAATAATGGACTGACTGAGCTCATGCGCCTCCTAGGGCACTATAGCTCGGCTTCTGGGTACAAAAGAGCACCTTCACCCTTGATAATCATATTGCGGACCAGTGGGACCATTGGGTCTACGAGCACACTGGCTTCGCGCGTGGAGACCTCCCCATCACCTACCTTGGTGTCCCCTTGTACAAGGGTCACCTCACGCATGAGCTTTTTTCTGACGTTAGACAGAGGATGATTGACCGTATCTCCGGTTGGTCTCACAGGTACCTATCTTTTGGGGGCCGGCTTGCTCTGATCAAGAGCACCCTCAGCACCCTGCCGCTTCACCTCCTTACAGTCCTTGATCCCCACCAGTCTCCTATCCACGAGCTAGATCAGATTCTGGCCCGTTATTTTTGGGGGCATGGGGAGGGTTCGCGGAGATGGAGACAGGTCCATTGGGTGAAGTGGGACTCTGTTTGTCGCCCCTTATCTGAGGGGGGTCTAGGGATCCGGCGTTTCTCGGATGTAGTCACTGCATTTTCTTACAAAATATGGTGGCGATTTAGGGAGGGTAAGTCACTTTAGGCGCAGTATCTTTGCCGGAAGTACTGTCTTGGAGGTGCTGCCCATCCGTGTCGGGTGACAACTACTGCCCGCGATAGCAGGCAGTGGAGGCGGCTCAACAGGGTTGGTAGACGTGCCCAGGAGCACATTTTTTGGTCTCTGGGGGAGGGGAAGGTTAGCTTTTGGGATGAGTGGTGGTTCGGTGAGGGCCCTCTTTCGAGCACTAGACAGGTCACCCACCTTCCTTTTCTACAGGTGAAGGACCTGTGGACGGAGGGGAGATGGCATAGGTATAGGCTTGAGAGGATTCTGGGTAATGGAACGGGCCTTAGTGATCATTTGATAGATGAGATCCAGCAGATTCCTATCTCGGAGGACGGTTTGGACGGTATGAGGTGAAGGCTTACATCTTCGGGTGCATTCTCTACGACCTCGGCTTAGGGGGAAGTACGGCAGGTGACCGGCCTAACCTTCTCCTCGGGGCCATCTGGACTGACCTATTTACCCCTACCATATCTGTTTTCCTTTTGCGCCGCCTACCGATTGACACTGTGATGCAGACGAGGGGGTTCTCCTTCCCCTCGCATTGCTACTGTTGTACCGAGTCTGGTGATTTTCAGACAGAGACCTTTACCCACCTGTTTATAGAGAGCGAGACTGTAAGGAGAGTGTGGGAGCATTATACCAGTTTCATTCATATCCCCCTACCCTCCACAGATACATTCTTTGAGCTTTTGAGTTTTTTCAGACACCGCACACACAGTAGACACGTGAGCTTCCTTATTCCTTGTCTGATCCTTTGGGCCACCTGGACAGAAAGGAATAACGCGAAGCATAGAGATAACCCTTTTTTGTCTTCTCATATTATTTTGCAGGTTGACCGACATCTTTCCCTCCTCACCGCTTTGGGCAGACTCACCCAGAGAGACTGGACAGGCTGCACGCCACCTCACCGCCTTGCACCACCTCCGCCGGTGCCTGTCCAGCATCCACGTCCCAGAGCTGTTGTTTGGCAAAAACCCGAGTTGCCTTGGGTTAAGCTAAACACTGATGGAGCCTTTGATCGAGTTACTGGAGTTGCTGGAGGTGGGGGCCTGATTAGGGATCATAGCGGCGCCCTTATTGCCGCGTTTCGTGCCCCTCTTCGGGCCTTCTCGAGCTATGACGCGGAGGTTCAGACGCTTCAGATCGATCTGCAGATTGCCGCCCCGATCTCCTCTCACATTTGGATAGAGTTGGACGCGGCTGCTATCATCACTCTTCTGTCATTTGGACACCAGGGCACGTGGCAGATCCAGTATCCTCTCATGCGCATCAGATCCACCCTCCAGTCGATTCGCTCCCGGATCTCGCACATCTTCCGCGAGGGGAACCGGCCAGCTGACTTCCTCGCTGGCATCGGGTCCTCCACTCCGTACAGACGCATTCTTTATCCTGACGACATCCCTATCCGCCTCCGCACCCTTATACAAATGGACCAGATGGGATACCCTTCATTCAGATTTTGGTAGCCGGACCTACCTTTTGGCGCTCCCGCCACACTGTGATGCTGACTTTCTAGCCGGGACTACCCCGGAACATGATTTGTTATTTTCATATGTTGTCAGCTTTTCTCTGTATTTTTTCTTCTCTTTATTGTTTTTGGTTTTCATTTGACTGGATGTATATCAGACATTGGATTAAAAAAATTATATATATATTTTTTAAAAAAAAATAGTAATTCTATCTACAAGGATTGATCCACCCAATTACGTGTTCATTCTACTTTCCCTCTCCATGCGTAGTATATGAGGTCCATAATTGTAATAAATAATCGAAATGAATTATTTTGCGCTCTCCACTATTATCGGTTGATTATAGTGCCACTCTTTAGCACACTCATCAGTAGCTCTCAACTTAGTCTTTTTAGGCACTGATGATCGATTTGATCTGATGGTCCATACAAAACGAGAAATTGTGGGAAGATATACTTAAATTAAGAAGTAATTATAATTTGAAATGCAATCTAATTAATCTGTGATCTTATTATTTAGGAGCGTGAAGTATTTCACTATTTCCTACAGATACACGCAAATCCCCACTTTTCCGGTGACCGCCCAAAACCTAATAACTTGCCCGCTTCAAAGACGTGAGCGTGACGGAGGCCCCCAGCGGCGACGGCGCCACCTCAACATCAAACGAGTCATACCGGCGGAACAGCTCCACCACCAGCATCCTCGCCGCCAGCACCACGAAGTCCTTCCCCGCGCACTGCTTGTTGTCGACCGTCGGTGCCCCGCTCTCCGGCCCGTTCGACCACACCACGTGCCGCAGCAGCCTCTCCCCTTCCTCCCCCACGAACCTCCCTGGCACAAACTCCTCCGCCCGCTCGAAGATCCGAGGGTCCCGGGTCGCGAACGGCTGGAACCCGTACAGCATCTCCCCTTCCCTCACCTCGTACGCCGCGTCGTGCGACTCCACCACTAGATCCCGCCGCGCCCGCCCGTACTGCGACGGCACCGGCGGCTCCATCCGCAGCGCCTCGTACACCACCGACTTCACCAGCGGCATCCCCTCCATGGCCGCCATCGTGACGGGCCCAGGCCCGGGCCCGACCGCCGACCGGACCTCCTCCGCCAGGCGCGCGTGGACCCCCGCCCCCGCCCGCCCGATCCACTTCATCATGTTGGGGAACAGGATCTTCATCCCCCCGAAGGAGTTGAAGCACGTGGTGAAGACTAAGTTGTGGCAGGCCTCCTCCCGCCCGATCCCTAGCTTCTCCGCGTGCTCGAGGACGGCCGTGGAATTCTGGTAGAAGAAATCGTAGAGTTTCCGGTAGTCCTTCTTCACGAGGAAAGGCGGGAGGGGGAACGTGTGAAGGAGGCCGTCCTCAATCAGACGCGGGAGGCCCAAAATCAGAAGGGGGTGGAGGTGGAACAGCACCCACTTGCTCACCAGCTTCGGCCCGTCCGACCCGAGGATGCCCACGCGCGGGTCCGCGCCGTAGAACGCACGCGCTAGGAAATTGAACGCCGCCTGGTCGTTGGCGGAGCAAAAATCGGCCTTCCCGCGGGCCGCCAGATCTGACTCCAGGCTCTCGAAGAGCTCCGAGTAGCAGGCGCTGAACTCCGGCATCACGTGCTCCCGGCGGTGGGAGAGGAGGAAGAAGACGAGCTTCTTCAGCTTGGCGTGGTTGGGCTCGGTGGGGTCGAGGAAGGAGACGGTGCGGTAGCCGCCGGTGAGCTCCGGCGAGGGCATGTAGGTGCCGGTGAAGAGATCCCTCTTCTCGACCTTGTCGGTGTCGAAGAGTGTCGGGAAGCTTTTACCGTCGAGCAAAACGACGACGTTGGGGTTGAAGGAGATGAGGGGTCCCGGCGGCATGTTTGTGCGGAAGACGGTGGAGTTGTATTTTTTTATTCGGGATTTGAAGAATTCTTCCCGGCCCTGGTTGTAGAAGAAATCCTGCCGGTCCTTCCAGGGACCGATGATGGGGAGACCACAGTCTCCGGGGATTTTGCGGAGGGGGAGCTTGGAGGAATTCGGCGGCGGCAGCGGCGGCGGCGCCGTCCTTTGTGATTTTTCTGACAGGGCAGCCGTGGTGATTGGGCGTGTTTTGAGTCCCATGAAAGACTTTGAGGGGAGGTGTAATTTTGAGGGTGATGTGCGAGAGGAGAATTTGAGGTGTAGAGATGATGGAGAAGATGACGAAGCAGCCATTGTTGTTGTGCTGTATTTCTCTTTCTGTTGTTATTTATTTGGAAATACTTTTTGTTGAGGATGATGAAAAGAATTGGTGGGTGGGTTTGAATAAAAAATATGGAGAATATATAAAAGCATCGACAGCCAACACGAGGAATAGTGGATTTGTTAGTCGGAAAAGATGGGCCCGCCGCAAGAAAACTTCTGCATTGTTGGTGAGTGTGGTCTGTGGGTTTATTTTGTTTATTATTTTTTATTTGGACTGTTTATTAATATTTTAAATATAATTTTTTAGTTGGATTGTGTATTGAATTTTCAAATTATATTTTGTTTTTAGGCTGGGTAGGTAGGTAGTAGTCGGAACTCGAAAGGAGGACTTTCTAGTGGAAATTTACATCATATTCCAATTGGACGGAATAATTTGTTAAAAGCCAAAATTCATTGCGTTTCCATACAAAAGTATATAAAAATTTGGAAAAAAAAGTGCAATTACATACGTCTCACTCACACTTACTGATCTTTCATCTACGAAAGAAACTTGAAGAATAAATAAATAAATAATATACTGGTCACTCTTTTTCTATTTTTCTCGTCATCATTCACTATAATATCTTTCACTTGAACCCTCTAGTAACAAAAAATTATTATTACCTATATTTAAATAAAAAATCATTATTCACATATTTTTTTAATTTTTAATTACCATTTATATTATATTTACTAGTTCTGTAACCAATCAACATAGATTATTTGATCTTATATATATCTGATTCTCGTTCAACTCTACAAATTCTAGGTTCATTTTCCAAAAGCAGCTCATCATTTTTCTGACTCGTATTTTTTTAAGACTATACAATTACTTGAAATTTTGATTTATTTATTTATTTCATTGGTTTGATTTCAAATCTTATTTATTAGTGGTCCANTTTTTTATTCATTTAATTTTTGTTATTGTTTTAACATATTTAGTCAACAAGCACGAGGATTACTATTCATTTTAATGTACATGTTTTCCAGGCCTATAAAGTCCTATGTCAAACGTTCACAGTACCACTATGGTGTGCCCTGACACACCTTGCTAGGTGTGCCTGCACGCGCCTAATCACTCTTAGAAACCAAAAAAATGAGAGAGTGTAGTACACATGCCACTTTCTTTTTTTTTTTTAATTGAAAATGAGACATATTAGATATATTAAAGTATCATTAATGATTTATATTAAAATAAAAAAAATAAATATACCAAAATTCATAATTTTCATTGTCTATAAATAGAGACCACATTTGATAGGTTTTTTTTAACATAATTAATTTTTTTTTTCGTAATCAATTTATTATACTGACATAGGATGGACATGTTACATAATAAGATGAATAAGTTATCAAATACGATGAACATGTTACGGACATGTTCATCTTATGTTATAACGTGTTCATCTCATTTTGTAACATATTCATCTTATTTTATAACATGTTCATCTTATTGTGTAAATATGTAACATGTTCATCTTATTCTATAACATGTTCATCTTACTAAGTAACATGGTCATCTCATTTTGTAACATATTCATCTTATTTTATAACATGTTCATCTTATTGTGTAAATACGTAACATGTTCATCTTATTCTATAACATGTTCATCTTACTATGTAGCATGTTCATCTTACTATGTAATATGTTCATCTTATTCTATAACACGTTCATCTTACTAAGTAACATGTTCATCTTATTATGGATCTGCGTCTTCATCTTCCAACAAAATAAATTAATTGTGAAAAGTGATAAATTAATTGTATTCTAAAACTTATCAAATGTGGTCTCTATTTGTAGAGAATGAAAAATTATGAATTTGGTTTTTTTATTTTTATTTTTTAATATAAAATATGAATGATAATTTTAATTTATATAATATGATATATAAAATTCATTATCCAATAGAAATGGGACACATGTCCCATTTAAAAGAAAAAAACTTACCTCACGCTCTTTTTTGAGGGAGTGTATTTTACAAAGGCCTTGGCACACCTAATTATTTGCGAAAAGTTCATGAAATGTCAAAATATATGCTAGAACATCTAAAACAGTCATTTAAAACGGTTAAAAGTCGGTCTACAATATGTTTTGTTCCATTTAATCTATATCTATCTATCTATATCATATTCTATATCTATCTATCTATACTATTATAAAAGAGGAGTGGTTTTGTAAAAATATGAACGGCCTAAAAAACCTTTATTTTGACATATTTTTAGTGGCAAATTAGTAATACAGTAATACCCATCTTATCTTATATTTTTAATTAAAAAGTGAACCATCTAAAAAACTCTTATTTGGACTTATTTTAATGGAAAATTAGTAATACACTAATATTTATCATATCTTATATTTTTAATCAATAATTAATATTTAGTTAAATAAATATAAATACAAGAACAAATCATTCTACATCTCCTCAAAATCAACCTCAATATTCTCATACCAACCCTTACTTTGACATATTTTTAATGGCAAATTAGTAATACAGTAATACCCACTTATCTTATATTTTTAATTAAAAAGTGAACTACCTAAAAAACTCTTACTTTGACTTATTTTTAATGGCAAATTAGTAATACACTAATAGCATGATTGTTAGGAAGGAATGACATGGGAATGGAATCGTCATTTCCTTACTCATTCCTTATCTCATGATTGGTATATTTTTGTGGAAAGGAATGACCATTCCAATTGGAATGACAAAACTCATTTGTATGGGATTAGCCATTCCATAGAAAATGGAAGATTTTCTCATTCCCATGTGTGTAGGAATCAATTTTCAAAAAACAAAATTAACAAATAATAAAAAAAACTATAATATATATTATAAATCATGATTAAAATATATTAAATAAAAAAATTAAAAACTTACTTTTATTTATTTTTTAATTAGATATATTAAATAATTATATAAAAATAAAACTAAAAAAAGCATTTATATATAATTTATATTATTTTATTCTTATATATTATTAAAAATATATTATTTTTTATATTATTAACAAATATGTTATTTTATTTTTATATATTATTAAAAAAGCATTTATATATAATTTATTAAAAGTATATTATTTTTTTTTCTTTTCCCGAAACGATATATAATTTTATAAATCAAAATGCACAAATGTGCGAATATACATCAGCCAACGGCTAAATACACAGCAGCCAACAGCTGAAAAAGTGGGAGGACAGGTCAGAAGCCCGCCTAAAATCCCGACTAGCAACACTAGAATAAAAAACACACTCACAACTAAACTAACCAACAACACAAACAACTAGAACAACTACAAGGACCCCAAAAGGGTAATACCCAAGTGTCGGGCCCCAACAGGGTAATAAAGTTGACACTCGGGCTCACAGGGGCCAACGGCCCAAATAAAAAACACAGGACATCGACACACAGGCAAAACGCCCAAACCAAAATACAAACCTACCACATAACAATATAAAGAAAAAAACACACAACCCTTCCACAGCAAAACAGCCGGCCTAACCAGCAGAGAACAATCGATTTTAGAGAATAGTCCAAGATCCAGGAACGGCTCCCGAAACTGCCCTAAGGCCTATGCAAAAAGTCGAACCCGAACACAAACCAAACTCCGAAACAAACCCACCTCGATCAACCGGAGGGACAACGGAACCCACTCCCACTCTAGCACTGCCCGAGCCCGCCTAACACCACTAGCCGAGCTAAAGAACGCCAAAACCCAGTCGTCTAACACCACTAGACGGAAAGGGGGAGGGGGGTTCGAGCCCTCAGCCCCGACACACAAGCAGAGCTCCACCCCGCCTCACAACCCACAAACCCATCAGCATCATCGCACACCACCGGCAACAACACCCGAAAGAGAGAATCCCGAACGGGGCATCACCGGAAAAAAAGAAATCGCCCGCTGCACAAAAACAGAGCAAACCAATAGAAACCAGAAATTGAAGTGGAACTCACCTCCAATCGAGACCGGGATACATGAATTGCAGTCCAATTGACGACCCAAGAGCCCGCCTCCACCAATCGCTCCGACTCCGACGAACTAGGGTTAGGCAGACCTTCGAACGCAAGCACATCGCGGCAACACCATAGGGCCAGATTTGTAGAGGAGGGACGATGGTCGAACGCGACCACCGGCCGGCGCCGCACCATCACCGAGGAAGGCGACGCGATTCAGAAGAGAGAGAGCTGTGTCGGCCTTTTTTTTTTTCGCGAGAGAAGAAGTGCTATCCGTGTATATTATATTTTAAAAAGAGCTTTTATTTATTTTTATAATAAAAAATGATAATGTCATTCCATTCAAGTCCTATTCCTTCTGCATACCAAACGAATCAATGACAAAATTTGTTCATTCCATTTCCCATAATCATTCCATTTGTACGAAATTCTATTCCATTATACCAACCATGCCATAATACTCATCATATCTCATATTTTTAATTAATAATTAATATTTAGTTAAATAAATATAGATACACGAACCAATCATTCTAGATCTCCTCAAAATGAACCTCAATATTCTCATATCATTATTCCTCACGAATTTGCTTCTTTCACATATCTGTCAAACTGCTTTCTTTCATATCTCCAAAAAATCAACTAAGACAACAAAGTTTTGAAAAAGATATATAATTGATATTTTGAAAAACATCCTTATTTTTAATATAATTTTAATGTAACATCATAATTATTTTAATTAATAACAAAAACTACTACATGAAATTTTTAATAATTAAAAAAAATACACAAAAAATTGTTATATTGCAATAAAAAATACAACTGTCAGACATTCCACTGAAAATCTCAACGAATAATATTCTTTGTATAGCCAATATATACATAATCTAACAAACTAGAAAAACGGATTAATTCGTATAGCTAAACTCTTATATTTAGAAATTGCACCTTAGATTTATTGAATTGAATTTTTATCACACAAAAAAACGTTATTTATTTGTTTGTTAGATTATTTTTTCCACTTTTGGTCACAAAGCCAATAATGTTAACTAATTTTCACTTCGTCATTAGGTGAAGAGCATATGAAAGAACAATATAAAGTACAAAAATATTAAATTTTTTAAA